GCAGCAAGAATGAGATGGGAAAGCAATGATGTGATGATGACACAGTTTATAAATAAACACGACGAACAATGTTACAACATGATATTCCTGATTACATGTTAACCTAATAAAACTGCTATCCTAAAGCAAATATAAAGGAACATTCATAAAAATCTTTATGGAAAATAGAAGGAAATTTCACCTTTATGTACTCTTGAACTTGAACAGACTCAAATCCAGTGAAAAGCACAAAAGGGGTCAGTGCCGGTGGTAACTTCTTGGAGGGAGGTGGAATATCTTTGATTCTATGAAACACACATAGAAGAGAACGGCTATTACTTCCCTAATATGTTCCTTACCAAACAAGACATTTTAATTTTAACAGTGTTAAGAAGCTCTGAGAGCTTTACCTGTGTGTGGTTTTCTGTTCTTAAAGGGAAAGTGCAGTGACTCACCTGCTCTTTCTTTCCCACCATTTATACAAAGTCACCCCAAAGGACTCTCACCTGGCACCCCTAGGGGAAGGGCTGATCAGGCACCATCCCCCACCCCCCAGCCTGCACTGTCCCTGGGGGTCTGTGAGGGTGGAAGGGAGGGCTTCCAGGGCCCTCTGTGGTCCCCAGTCCCCCACCGTATCCCACAGGACCCATCTCACCCCAGAAGCTCTGACTCAGAGCAAAGCTGGTCAACTCAAGCACACACTCTATATTAAACTTCTTTGCTTAAATTTCTTCAAGCCCTATTTTTAGCTTATATTTGAGACAGTCTATGAAATAAAGAAATCTGTAGTGTTTTAATGATGTATATAATCACATAATTAGGCTTTTGCTAAAGAATCCAACAATCCCCGGATTGGGTGGCTGTGGGGACTAGAAGGAGGGGACTGAGGAACAGGGAAGAGACAAAGACCCTCACTCAATGCAGCTCAGAAGGTCTCTTGGTTCTAATTAAACCACTGGCTTACCTTCACCAGGTGAGAACAGAACAAGTCTGACAACACCCCTGCCTCAGCCCCACAGAGGGGGCTCCATCCCCCATCCTGACCTGGGTCAGGGGTCAGACGTGGGCTCCCGGGCACGCACTAAGGATGCCTAGAGCTGGGTTCCAATCCCCCTGCCCCTGTCCCACCACAGCAGCTCATTTCACACAGTGGGGGTTCTGGCAAGATCGAAAAAAGATAAAACAGAAGATTGGACTTTTTTTTTAATAAGAAAGGAAAAGACACTGGCTATCCCCCATTTATCTCCAGTGATGAAACGAGAGATGTCATGATACAGCTGCAATGCAAGCAGCACATCCTTCCAAGTCCTGGTGGTTTAGTCACTCAGTAGTGTCCAACTCTTTGTCACCCCATGGACTGTATCCCGCCCGACTCCTCTGTCCATGGGGATTCTCCAGGCGCGAATACTGGAGTGAGTAGCCATGCCTTCTTCCAGGGGATCTTCCCGACCCAGGGACTGAACCCATGTCTCATGTCACCTGAATTAGCAGGCGGGTTCCTTACCACTAGTGTCACCTGGAAAGCTCTTCCAAGTGAAAATCTTAGGAATTTCCCCAACTGCCACCATTTCCTAGGACAGACTGTAAGAGATTATCAATCATTAAAAAAAAAAAAAAAAAACAAAAACAAAAACAAAAAAACAACAACAAAAAAAACGCAAGGTGATTCTTCCTACCTGGCACTTTAGGAAGAAGGCTGGATATTAGTTACTTCATGCTGCTTTGGTTTGGGATGTAGTCTTACACCCTGTAATGAACAGATGATTTACCTTAGTCAACCACCCCAGTAACACAGCAGCTTCTGAGCACTTTCTACCCATCTCACCACACACAAGAAACACTCCTCAAGGAACAACTGGCAGAGACCACGGGCACATGCAACTGTCCAGGGAGGCCCTGGCACTGGCCACCCTCTCTATTCACCAGACCCAACAGTTCTTAAAATGTCTTCACCCCTCTCCTCGCACTTGTGATAGATTTAATCCTCCACCTTGAACTTTGCAAAACACGTTTTACTTCAAATATTTTATATCTCAATGGAATCTGGAAAACACAATGATTGCAATTACACCCCTCCAGAAAGACGGAGGTTCCCCTATGAGGGTGCAGGACGGTTGGGTCACAGGACACTGGAGGGGAAGGCAGGCCTCTGACGGCCACTCTGTGTCCCGGGCACAGCACCCATGCTCCTAAAACCAGCTGGAGGCCCTGACCTGTGGAGACGTGGAGCCCGCTAGGGAGCCGATATCCCCAGAGGCCCCCACAGCCAGCCTCGTACTGCAGCTACTGCCCATTCACACCTTCCTTGCCTCTAATGCAGACCTTCTTCCACAAGCACACTCATTTATGTTCTACTATGGGGAGCAACCACCTCTTCATCTGAGATGAGGATGGAGATGACCCTCCCCCCACCAAGTGAAAGGCAGCCCTACCAGAGCTGCCTACAAACCAACCCCTGGCATTCCAGTGCAGAACAGCCCACCCTGAAGGCATCCCATCAGAGACTCCAGCCAGTGGCCTGGAAATCCACTGCCACAGTGAAGCACTGCGGTCAGGGCTGACACTCTGGCGCCCCAGTTCCCACCTCCCAAACCCCATGGAAACACACGGTCTCCCTGTATTCTGCTCTGCAGTTCTGTAAGCAGTCACGTAGCTCTCTGAAGAAGTCATGGGGCTAACGTGTGTCACGTGAATGAGTAACTCCCAATATCATCAACGGAGAGGATAAAGACACAGGGTGCACTGAACAGCTTATGACAGGTGAGAAGATTCAGCCCTCATTGGTCATGATGGCCAATTACTAAAAGAATTAGTTACATATACAAACATATCCCTACTTCTTTGTAACACAGTAACAGCCACAGTAAGGTGTCTAACTTGACATACCATCAGCAACTCTGCTGACACTTTCAACGGAACTCTCCAAGCATCTGAAGAGAGAAACAGGTTACTTTTCAGAAACACTATGTACATAAAGGAGCCCTTATCAATATAAAAGACCTTTCAGGACACACACACACTATTACAAAACAGGTTAACAATAAGGACCTGCCATATAGCACAGGGTACTCTACTCCGTACTCTGTAATAGCTACGTGGGAAAAGAATCTTTAAAAAAAGTAGATATATGTACAAGTATGATTGATTCAGTTTGCTGCACACCTGAAACTAGCACATTATAAACCAACCATATCCTAATAAAAAAATTAAAATGGAAGTGTATTAATAATAACAGAAATGAGAAGGCTCTCCAGGTGTGGGTCATCTTGGACACGCAGTGGCTCGGGTGATTGCCTCCAACAAGGGGATGGTAAGGACTATTCCTGAGTTTACAGGGAAGCCTGGCAGGGGCCGAGACAAAGCTGAGCAAACCAGTAGCCTGTGGCCCAGTGCAGGCACCGCCAACCCGCATGTGCTGAACCCCAGACAGTTCCGGGAGTCCCGTGGTCTGGCATCCTAGAAACTGACTGTGAGGAGCACAGCACGTGGGGGCAGCAGCCCAGCTGGGCCCTCAAGGACATGTGTCCACTGAGGAAGGGCCTGGCGTCTGCACCACGGCTTCAGAGTGGACGTCATAGCCAGGGCTGTCCCAGGGAAGCAGGCTGGCTGTGGCTCAAAGCCAGAAAGGGATTTCTTGCGACTGAGATCTTTAGGACCAGAACTGGACGGGCTCCTTCATGGGAGCACATGTTAAAGCAGCGTTCGAGCGACCACTTCCTGGAGTGACGCTCAGGTGGGTAAACGGGGTTAAGCGCCATCTGGTGTACAGTCAGGGCAGTGGGCCTTCCTCGGGATCTGTGCAGCACAAAGTGGGGGGCGGGGGGTGCCGCTTCTCACAGAGCAAGTTAAATGAGAGCTGGCTTGAAAGACAAGATCAAAAGGCTTTCTAGTGTTCCTTCCACTTCTGAGAGTCCATTAAAAAAAGCAAACAAAAATACAAGCCAACAAAACTTCTGGGTTCAGTGCAGTGGGAGACAGCGTGGAGAGGAAACAGGAGATGAGATAAAAACCAACATGACCCTGAAGCCAAGAGCAGTGTCTGGAGCCCCAGCCCACGGCCACAGGGAGTTGGCCTGCTTACCCAGAAGGTTCACCACCAGGTGTGGGGTTGGGGAGAAGGGGTCCTGCAGGCCGAAGGCGTGTAACAGCCATACTGTGTCTGCTGCAGGACCTCGAAGTTCCCCAGCAGGATGTCCCCCAGCCACTTGACATTCACGCACGGGATCTGCCACTCTTTGGCTTTCTCGTACTTTAAACCAGTTGGTCTTTTTTGATTGGGGTCGGGGGAAGAGAAAACACATTCATTAGAGTTATCGGTGTTCAAATTTGTACTTCTGTTAACACACACCAGCCCACACTTGCTCACACTGGACATGGCAGGGACAGTTCTGCAGAGCTGATTGGGCTGTAAGGAGGTGTCCATGTGATCATGAGGTCATTGCCCACACTGCTTTCACCTCATCACTGTCACCTAATTTGACTGCAGCCTCCTTAATCATATGATTTCATTCTTCTGCTAACATTATGACAAATATCACTGCCATTCTTTCAGCAGACTCTGACATCCACCATGGAACTCTGACAGACTGAGAGACGCAGAATGGCCCTGTGTGGGCCAAGACAGAACCCTGGCTGAGGAACCTGGAGCAGCACCTTGCGGCCTGAGATGGAACCCTGGCTGACTGAGGAACATGGAGTGGTCCTGCGCGGGCAGACAGAACCCCGTCTGACTGAGGGACCCAGACTGGCCCAAGACAGAACCCTGGCTGAGGGACCCAGAGCAGTGCCTTGTGGGCCAAGACATGAACCACAGCTGACTGAGGGACCCTTAGAGACCCTGTGCAGGCCGAGACAGAACCCTAGCTGACTGAGGGACCCCGAGAGGTCCCATGTGGGCTGAGACAGAACCCTGACTGACTGAGGGACCCCAGGCCCTGTGTGGGCAGAGATGGAACCCTGGCTCACTGAGGGACCCAGAGTGGTGCCAAGCAGGCTGAGGGCAGACGTGGTGGTGGCTGCGTTTACTCTCTGCAGATGAGGATGGTGGTGCTGCGGCACAGGTAGCCCGTGTACTTGGCACCTGCCAGGTACACCATTAGCTTAAGGTCATCCCTGTCGCTGTTGACGAACCCAGTCACGGAGATAATCTGGAAGGGAAAGGTCCAGTAAGGTCAAGATGTAATGATGGTTTAACCCAGTTAGTATGATTCTTTCTTCTCCCTGTTGGTTGTGCTACAGACACACATGTTTCCATTCCTCCTCCTTGGCAACATCACCTCTGAGAATGCTGTCACTGCTGACAATGCTGCACATGAGACAGCAAGGGGGGATGGAAAGCAAACATACCAAATGGAGAATGCTTTCCTGTGTTAGCATGACACTGTCCTCATCATGTTAATGAAGTTACTTTACTAAGCCTATGAATATTGGTCACTTCTTCTGACTGATCCCGGTTTTGGGCTCATCTGACAGGGAGAACCGACAGGAGATGATGTCCGCCCAGCTGTGGCCACTTCTGGTGTCAGACGCTTAACTGTAAAGTGAAAGGGAAGTCACTCAGTCATGTCTGACTCTGCGACCCTATGAACTGTAGCCCTCCAGGCTCCTCTGCCCATGGGATCTTCCAGAAAAGGATACTGCAGTGGGTTGCCATTTCCTTCTCCAGTGGATCTTCCCAACCCAGGGACTGAACCCAGGTCTCCTGCATTGCAGGGAGGAGCCAGCAGGGACTAGGCATTTATTAAACAGTGTCAAAGACTTGGGGGAACCTGTTAAATGTCAGTAAGCTGTGACTGTTACAGGGGGACAGAGAAGGAAACAATATGCTTATTCTGTTCAGGGAGGCAGGAGAGCCTTACATGCTGGGAGCATGGCTTGTCCCCCAGCAGGAAGGCCAGTGGAAAGTGTAGGGCCCGATGGGGCGGCACCAGCTTCTTCTTCAGGACCATGTTCAGCCAGTGCGCTGTGATGCACCTCTTCCTCTCCTTTATCGCCTGCAAACACAAGAATATGGGCCGGTCATTGGGGGCTTTACTGCAGGTGACATACAGAATTGTAAGACTGTGTAACTACAAGGTCATTTTTACTGGAAGTCCAATAAATACAGGAATTTCAGGAGCTTAGCACTCAATTTACTAAATTAATAAACTACAACAGTGTCACAGATTAACTTGAACACAACCTGAAACACAGGAACAAGAGCCAACCACGGGGAGCAAAGCTGACAGCCTAGGAAATGACTTTAATCATGGAAAGAGACGACACTCCCGATCATCAGAATTCAAATTGCCCTGTGAGAATACGGCGAGTTATGAAAACGTAACTGCCCCTGAAGTTAACCACGGGATGACCCTTATGTACTCTTCACCATGCATCTCTCAGAGGCCATGTACCACATACACATTAACGGCAGTCAGTGAACAAGAACCCATTAGAGAAGAACAGAAATAAGCCCTGAGGGGATGAGCGCAGGCCGCCCTGAGGGGGAGCTGCCTATCAGCAGCTACGAGTGTCCCTGTTCCTGCCGCTCCATGCTCAGGTGGCCCTGCCAGGGCGGACAGTGTCCACCTCCCCCTCACTGGGAACCTGCCTTTCCTCCCCAGTCCTCACAGACAGAGAAGCCAGGGGCCAGAGGTGTCCACACGCTAAAGGTGGATGGAAACCAGTGAGAAGCATTTTCCTGTCTTCAGAGGTGGGAGAAAGACCTTTCCAAGCATGACTGTCCCAGCATCTCTCAGAGCCCTCCAGTCCCAGAAGAGCTGAGCCCTCACCTGTGTGAACAGCCCGCTGACCTGACTCTTGCAGAGCAGGTGGGTGCAGTGCCTCGAGAACATGGGGTCCACAGCTCCTCCATGTGTCTGGATGATCTGCACACACATGAGACCCATGGTCAGTCAGCTCCCACACCCGGGGAAGAGGGACTTGTGATCTCCAGTCAGACAGCACTTCGCGAGACCCACCAAGTATGTACACAGTGTATTTCCCAAAGTGTGAATGAACTATCAGTTATATCTATGGGCTTTCCCACCCAGCACTACACAGCAAAAATGAACTCTAAGCCCCGTTTCATCTGAACTTCTGGAGGAAGAGTGGGATGCTCTCTTTCTAAGACAGGGCGCTGTGGACGTTTTAGATAAACCAGCTGATCTGAGCTGTGGGGCATCCCACGTCTCAGGGGGCTGGCTGCACCCCGACCCTCGCCCCAGGTGCCATGAGCACTTCCCCCGCTGGGATAGCGAGAAAGGTTTCAGACATCGCCAACTGGTCCCTGGGGCCAGAAGCACTGCCTTTAAGAAACTTTATTCTAAAAAGAAAAAATAAAGCAAAGTAAGATGAAGTTAAATTCAGTTTCTGAATTTCTGAATTTTTTGATACCGTCCTGTATCCCAATTGCAGTGGTTACACGGTTGTGTGGCACTGAGGGGAACACTGTTACCAAAAGGGTGAGAACTTCTTGGGTTGGCAAAAAAGTTCCTTTGATTTTTTTTAACTAAAAGACATATTTTTTTATCTGCCCCAAGAACTTTACTGAACAAGGTATTCACTGTTTTGTTCCACTACCGTCTGCCATTTTTCAGGCAACTTCATAATTCCATTTTCCCAAGACTTTTTATCTTTCTGAGCAAAGAACTCTTCCAGGTGCCTTTTACAGTCTTCCAGACAATTTTTTTTTCCAGTATGGGAATTTTGTTAAGACCAAAATAAATGGAAATTCAAAGGTGCCATGTTTGGTGAATATGGTGGATGAATCAGAACTTTCCAGACAAGCTCTAACAGTTTTTGCCTGGTCATCAAACATCAACAAAACATGCGGTCTTGAGTTATCTTGATGGAAGAGTGTGAGTTTTCTGTTGGTTAATTCCGGGTGCTTTTCATCAAGGGCTGCTTTCAGATGGTCTAATCAGGAGGAGTACTTGTTGGAATTAATCATTTGTTTTTCCTGAAGGAGCTCACAAGAGACGACTCCCTTCCATTCCCTCCATCTACACAATACCACCTTCTTTGGTGTGGTTGGTGGTAGTTCATTTCACTTGCCTCAAATCTCTTCTGTTCATTATTTTACAGTATCTTTTCATCACTGGTCACAATTTGTTTGAAAAACAAAACGTTTTTTGTTATGTTTCAGTAGAGAACTACATGTGGAAAAATAGTCAGGAAGGCTTTTTTTGCTTCTCTTTTGTGAAACCCAAACATCAAAGTAATGAACACAGCCAAGCTGGTACAATTCATTCTCAGGGATGGATTTGGATGTTCTGAGTATGTCGGCTATCTCACATGTGGTATAATGTTGACTGTTCTCAGCTAACATCTCGATTGGATCACTATCAACTTCAGTGGGTCTACCCAGCTGAGGGGCACCATCCAGCAAGAAACCTCCAGCAGGAAACTTTGCAAACCACTTCTGGCACGTTTGATCAGTCACAGCACTTTCTCCATACACTGGACAAAGCTCTCTATTTTTTTCTTTTCAGTTGTGTTTTTACCTTTCTTTAATTAATTAAGCATAATATGCCTGAAACATTCATTTGTTTCTTTTGTCTTCAATATTAAAATGGCTACACAGAAATTCACCGATTTTGATAACTGTTTAAAAGAATGCACACTGATAAGACAGCTGTCACAGAACAATCTAACAAAATTGTTTTGCATGAAGTTAAAGTCAATTAAGTGCTATCAGAGCCATCTTACAGTAAAAACAAACGAGCTTCTTGGCCAACCCAGCGGTTATAGGCATAGGTACACGTGTATGTGTGTGTGCAGGTAAATGTATCTCAGTGACCTCACCCTTTTCCAGGTGGCCAGCAGCTGCTTGTCAGACATCTGCTCTGGATAATCCACGATTGCAAACACACATCCCAGTAAGAAGCCTTCTTCTGGGACTAGAACAAAATTATACAAGGAAAATGAATTAGAACCCCCATTCTGTGAATGTGTGCACAAAACATGAAAAAGTTCAGAGTTTGATGTGAATTTATGAAGTTAGTCATGCTTTCCCATGATGTCTCCACCAGTAGTCTGAGGACCTCTGCAAAAGTTCCTACAAATACAGCTGCTACAAATGGAGTTACTCGATCACCAATATTACGTGATTCAAAACTGGGAACCACAGAGTTTATGTCTGGGTGCCGAGTGCTCCGAGTGGTCCTTGAGACAGCCCACCATTCCAAGGACACCGGTGTTCACTTCAGGGTAGGGACGGAGGCCCAAACCACCGGAGAAACCTAACAATTCCTAACCATAGTTCCTATTTTCTAAGTATTACCCTGACATGAATCCTTAGCCTGCCCTCAAATGCTCTCAGAGAAGGTACAAGGGTTTCAGGAGAGGGAAAGACAGAGATGCATATTACTAACTCTCCACTGCTGGGTCATGTCCAAACAGCGGGGGCTGAGCCTGCGCCTGGGCGGCGTGGTCTTCAGGGCCTGGGCCAGCTGGCCGGGTGGCTGTGCCGTCGGTGTCGACTGCATCTGCTGCTGCAAGTGGGCGAGCTGCTGCTGCAGTGGCGGCTGGGGCTGCTCGGGGAACTGGTGCAGGTGGGCCTGTGGTGCCTGGAATGGGTAGAGCGGGGGTGGAGAGTAGGGCTGCTGCACCAGGTGCCACTGCTGGAACTGTAGGAGCTGCTGGGGCTGCAGGTGCAGGATGGGGTGCGGGGCTGGGGCTGGCTCCAGGGCCACCTTCACCTGGCTGAGCAGCACCATGCTCAAGGGGTCCTGCTGGCCTTGGTTCACCTGCTGCTCCAGTGTCTTCATTGGCACCGAGAGGGACTACAGGATCTGGAAGCAGAGATCAGGCAAGGTCATGTCAATATCTGCTGCCCTCCACTCACAGGCCCCTCAGAGAGCAGAGAGCACACCCTACATGCCGTGGGCTAACTCTCAACAGCAGGAGGTTTCAGACACACCCACGGTCCCCCCATGTGCATACACACTGCCAGCTCACTGAAGTGAACATACTCATACTTGAGACCTCTTCACCAAAACGTGAAATGGGGTAAGTAAAATGGAAGAGACTACTGAATGGACATAGGCAGATATACACCCTGGAGTGGCTGACTCGCTCCAGAGGAGAAGGACTGGAGCGGGAGATGTATGCTGTTCTGTCCCACTGACCCCCACAGTCCTGCTGTGAGCCCAACGCCCCACCATGCCCCGCCTCCCCTGGGCCATATAGCCTGCCCAAGTGTCCCTCCCACAGGTGCCGTTTCCCAACAAAGGGTCCAGAGGATGCCAAGACCCCACCTGCATAAAGTCACAGGACTCTGCAATGGTGGACAGCAGCCGCCAGTCATCCCGTCTGTGGCCACCCTGCTCCACCACACACACAAGGGACAGGAGAGACCCAGCCCCAGGGCTGTGCATGCAGGTAGCCTTCCCCAGGTCAGAGGCCCATGCACAGCTGTCCATTCCCTGTCCTCAGGGTGAGGTGGGGCCCTGCACACACACTGGACAGAAGACCACAGGCTAGAGCTCACGCCGGCCACAGTCAAGAGTATGTGAACCAAGAACTTCCAGACGTTCAAGGTGAAGGCAGAGGAAGCAGACATCAAACTGCCAACATCCACTGGATCATAGAAAAAGCAAAAGAATTCCAGAAAAAAAACCATCTACTTCTACTTTACTGACTATGCCAAAGATACTGACTGTGTGGATCACAACAAACTGTGGACAATTCTCAAAGGGATGGGAATACCAGACCACTGTACCTGCCTCCTGAGAAATCTATATGCAGGTCAAGAAGCAACAGTTAGAACTGGACATGGAACAACAGACTGGTTCCAAACTGGGAAAGGAGTATGTCAGGGCCGTAAATTGTCACACTGCTTACTTAACTTATATGCAGAGTACATCATGTGAAATGCTGGGCAGGATGACTCAAAAGGTGAAATCAAAATTGCTGGGAAAATATCAATAACCTTAGATATGTAGATGGACACCACTCTGATGGCAGAAAGCAAAGAACTAAAGAGCCTCTTCATGAAAGTGAAACAGGAGAGTGAAAAAGTTGACTTCAAACTCAACATTCAAAAAACTGAGATCATGGCATCTGATCCCATCACTTCATGGCAAATAGATGGGGAAACAACAGAAGCAGTGAGAGAGTATTTTCTTGGGCTCCAAAATCATTGCAGATGGTGACTGCAGCCATGAAATTAAAAGATGCTTACTCCTTGGAAGAAAAGCTATAACTAACATACACAGCGTATTAAAAAGCAAAGACATTATTTTACAGACAAAGATCTGTAAAGTCAAAGCTATGATTTTTCCAGTAGTCATGTATGGATGTGCATGTTGTACTATAAAGCAAGCTAAGCATTGAAGAATTGTTGCTTTTGTACTGTGGTGTTGGAGAAGACTCTTGAGAGTCCCTTGGGCTGCAAAGAGTTCCATCTAGTCCATCCTATAGCAATCAGTCCTGAATATTCATTGGAAGGACTGATGTGGAAACTGAAACTTCAATACTTTGGCCACCTGATACAAATAAGTGACTCATCTGAAAAGACCCTGATACTGGAAAGACTGAAGGAGGGCACAGTAGGGGCTGACAGAGGATGAGAAGGTTGGATGGCATCACAGACTCAATGGACATGATTTGAGGAAACTCCGGGAGCTGGTGATGGACAGGGAGTCCTTGGAGTGCTGTAGTCCATGGGGTCGCAAAGAGTAGGACATGACTGAGTGACTGAAATGAACTGAACTGATCTCCCTCCTCACAATACAACTGAATAAGCAAGCCTAAATAAGTGACCACATTTGCCCCCTTGTGTCAAGGTGGAAATTAGACATTGAATAGACTTGCAAACAGAGGAAGCCAAAACAAACAAAGAGGGAACCGCTCTGGAAGTGACAGGTGCAACAGATTAAAACCCTGCAGTTAGGACTGACTAAGCAGAAGTGAGGCCATGAGGAGCTACCCCTTGCCCAAAGTCAGGGGTAGCGACCGAGAGCACCAGGCTGTGACAGCGCAGGAGCAGTAGCTGAGAGGAGCTTCCCCATGCCCGAGGTCAGGGGTAGCGGCCGAGAGGAGCTACCCCACCCCAGAGGTCAGGGGCCCTGCCCGAGAGGAGCTACCCCATCTCCAAGGAGCGGCTGCTGCACAGGCGCAGGAGGGCCAAGAGGGGCTACTCCATCTTCAAGGTCAGGAGGGGTGGCCTTGAGAAGACACCCCTCCTCCAAGGTAAGGAGCAGCGGCTGCACTTTGCTCGAGCAGCCATGAACAAATACTCCACGTCCAAGGTAAGAGAAACCCAAGTAAGATGGTAGGTGTTGTGAGAGGGCATCAGAGGGCAGACACACTAAAACTAAAGTCACAGAAAAATAGGCAATCTGATCACAGGACCACAGTCGTGTCTAACTCAATGAAAATAAGCCATGCTGTGTGGGGCCACCCAAGACAGTCAGGTCATGGTGCAGAGGTCTGACAGAATGTGGCCCACTGGAGAAGGGAGTGACAAACCACTTCAGTATTCTTGCCTTGAGAACCCCATGAACAGTATGAGAAGGCAAAATGATAGGATACTGAAAGAGGAACTCCCCAGGTCGGTAGGTGCTCAGTATGCTACTGGAGATCAGTGGAGAAATAACTCCAGAAAGAATGAAGGGATGGAGCCAAAGCAAAAACAATGCCCAGTTGTGGATGGGACTGGTGATAGAAGCAAGGTCCAATGCTGTAAAGAGCAATACTGCATAGGAACCTGGAATGTTAGGTCCATGAATCAAGGCAAATTGGAAGTGGTCAAGCAGGAGATGGCCAGAGTGAATGTCGACATTTTAGGAATCAATGAACTAAAATGGACTGGAATGGGTGAATTTAACTCAGATGACCATTATATCTACTACTGTGGGCAGGAATCTCTTAGAAGAAATGGAGTAGCCATCATGGTCAACAAAAGAGTCCAAAATTCAGTTCTTGGATGCAATCTCAAAAATGACAGAATGACCTCTGTTCATTTCCAAGGCAAATCATTCAATATCTCGGTAATCCAAGCCTATGCCCCAACCAGTAATGCTGAAGAAGCAGAAGTTGAACGCTTCTATGAAGATCTACAAGACCTTTTAGAACTAACACCCAATAAAGATTTCCTTTATTATAGGGGAATGGAATGCAAAAGTAGGAAGTCAAGATACACCTGGAGTAACAAGCAAATTTGGCTTTGGAGTACGGAATGAAGCAGGGCAAATGCTAATAGAGTTTTGCCAAGAGAACACACTGGTCATAGCAAACACCCTCTTCCAACAACACAAGAGAAGACTCTACACATGGACATCACCAGATGGTCAACACCGAAATCAGATTGATTATATTCTTTGCAGCCAAAGATGGAGAAGCTCTATACAGTTAGCAAAAACAAAACCGGGAGCTGACTGTGGCTCAGATCGTGAACTCCTTATGGCCAAATTCAGACTTAAACTGAAGAAAGTAAGGATAACCACTAGACCATTCAGGTATGACCTAAATCAAATCCCTTAGGACTATACAGTGAAAGTGAGAAATAGACTTAAAGGACGAGATCTGATAGACAGAGAGCCTAATGAACTATGGATGGATGTTCATGACGTACAGGAGACAGGGATCAAAACCATCCCTATGGAAAAGAAATGCAAAAAGGCAAAATGGTTGTCTGAGGAAGCCTTACAAATAGCTGCGAAATGAAGAGAAGTGAAAAGCAAAGGAAAAAATGAAAGATATTCCCATTTGAATGCAGAGTTCAAAAGAATAGCCAGGAGAGATAAGAAAGCCTTCCTCAGCTATCAATGCAAAGAAATAGAGGAAAACAATAGAATGGGGAAGACTAGAGATATCTTCAAGAAAATTAGAGATAGCCAGGGAACATTTCATGCAAAAATGGGCTCAATGAAGGACAGAAATGGTATGGACCTAACAGAGGAAGAAGATTTTAAGAAGAGGTGGCAAGAATACACAGAAGAACTGTACAAAAAAGATCTTCAGGACCCAGATAATCAAGGTAGTGTGATCACTCATCTAGAGCCAGACATCCTGGAATGTGAAGTCAAATGGACCTTAGAAGGCATCACTATGAACAAAGCTAGTGGATGTGATGGAATTCCAGTTGAGCTATTGAAAATCCTGAAAGATGATGCTGTCAAAGTGCTGCACTCAATATGCCAGCAAATTTAGAAAACTCAGCAGTGGCCAGAGGACTGGAAAAGGTCAGTTTTCATTCCAATCCCTAAGAAAGGCAATCCCAAAGAAAGCTCAAACTACCACACAATTGCACTCATCTCACACGCTAGTAAGGTAGTGCTCAAAATTCTCCAAGACAGGCTTCAGCAATATGTGAACCGAGAACTTCCAGATGTTCAAGCTGGTTTTAGAAAAGGCAGAGCAACCGGAGATCAAACTGCCAATATCCACTGGATCATCGAAAAAGCAAGAGAGTTCCAGAAAAACATCTATTTCTGCTTTAAAGACTATGCCAAAGCCTTCAACTGTGTGGATCACAATAAACTGTAGAAAATTCTTAAGAAGATGGGAATACCAGGCCACCTGACCTGCCTCTTGAGAAACCTGCATGAAGGTCAGGAAGCAACAGTTAGAACTGACATGGACCAACAGACTGGTTCCAAATAGGAAAAGGAGTACGTCAAGGCTATATATGGTGACCCTGTTTTTCTTAACTTATATGCAGAGTACCTGATGAGAAACGCTGGGATGGAAGAAGCACAAGCTGGAATCAAGA